AGTGCAGCGTGTAAAATGCAAAATGTCCTCCAAAGACGAGCCATAAATTCTCCCCTGATTTGATTTGATGTGACAAACTGGATGCTGACGAGAGAAGAATACTGCGAAGGAACACATAGAAAACAGTTTGCATTACATAACTGTATATCATGGAGTAGTGCGCCTGTGTCTGCTATATTATGTCAAGGCACAGTTATGAAACCAGCATTAAAATGCAGGGCTCCGAACACAGCAAGCGAGCGGCTGGATAGCGGAGTGAAACCTGATTGTTGTAAAGGATTGAGACCCACAATTCATTACAACAATCCTTATTTCTGTTGTTCTGAGGCAGCATTAGCATTATCTCAGATTTACAGTTAATATCCAAGCAATGAAAACAAACCTGTTATTTGATGTTTAAAATTTCTATTAATTTAAAAGCACCTTCAACCTTGCATCTTTTCATTTCTTTATGGCCCTGTGCCCTGAAGATCGGAGCAGTGGATACCGAGCATCTCTTTCCTTCTTCCCCCTCATCCCCCAGCAGCCTGTGCCGAGGGAAGCCCTCAATTATTGATGGATGTGGATGGCGGCTGGATCTTTAAGTCTCTATTAAAAGTGGAGGTCAAATAGAAAGCAGATTGAGCAGACGGAGTGCAGCGTGCAGTCAAGTGGAATATTCCATGTCCAACTTCAGACATGAGCAAATCCTCTCAAAAAAAGAGATTGCGCTCTCAAAAATGAAAAATTCTCACTTTTTCACATATTCTTTCCCAAGAATTTCTTGCCCACGCCTCAGGAGTTGACCTTGTAGGTTCGGCAGAGGTCGGGCTTGTTGAGTCAGAGCCTGTTTGACCCTCCCACCTCAGGGGGGTGACTCGTCTTCAGAAATAGGACGTACACATTTTAAAGGCAGAGGACACAGGATCAGCATACAGATGCCACGTGTGGAGTAAATAAACTGAAGTAGAAGTTCATTTTTGCATATATGTAGTAACATTTTTAAAAATAGTTTCTCTTATATTACTTACATTTAAAAAAAAAAAAAAAGTACATATGTATATTTGTATATTTATTCATATTCCTTTCTTCTTTGTTTATTTCCAGATGTTTTTCATTTGCACATAGGGAAACTTAAATAAAAACAAATAAAAAAAGGGTGATGGCTTATTATTGAAATTAATTCACTTATATTATGAGTCAACTTTACCCAGTAAATAATAATGTTCACTTTCTGGAAACCATGAATCTGAAAAAACCTATTGCAAACCATCCATTAGCGAAATGAGATTGAGTTTCAATGTATTTTCTAATTCAAATTGTCAATCAGAATGACTTTAAATCCATGGATCACCAACACGTACAGCAGTGAGGTGAGCAGAAAAGGTGAGCGGTGCCGTGACAATATCACTGTGGCCCCGGAAGGATCATGTTCGGTGGAGAGGTTCAGAAATAACAGCGAGGAAGGGAAGTAAAAGGGATTTCTTTAAAGATTAAAGCAAATTAGTCTGAGCAGAGCAGAGAGAAGCTTGAGAGAGAATCCCACAGAGCGCTTCCGTGATGATTAGCAGGTGAAACGCTGTCAAGGAAACCAGGGATAGAAATAAAGTTGATGAAATGCAGCAGAAAAAGCGTTGATAAGCATAAAATTACACAGATGTCACAGAAACTTTTCACCACGCAACCAAATCTAGTTTGAGTCAAGATGCCTGCGCGGCTTTTCTCAGGGTGTGATTCAGGAGTGAGAGGATGACGTGAGGTTCCATTACAGGAAATCCGTTTTTTTAAATCGTATATGAGCAGATACGGGAAGAAGGTGGTGATCTTTCAAATATTAGTCATATAAAGTGAAAATTTGTTGCATTGTCTGGAAGACTCACGATGGCGGCTGGTGTGCAGGACAGTATGGAGGAGGCGACTTGAGTCTCATTCTCTTGTGTCAGCATCTGGGGATTTGAAATCTGAGCAGCCACAGGGAACCAGTGGAAGCAGCAGCACAGGATGATTTGTTGTCGGGGGAGAGAGTATTTCAAGACCAGAGCAGGGAGAGAGTTTCAACCGCTGGGATGGGAAGATGATTTAAACGTTGAGCAGTGAGAAAGTGGAGAAAGTTGGAAGCTGAAACTTGTATGTTACACCTACAGCCAAAATTCTTGCTCTGCCCTGCTTGATGTTACATCTCGACTCTTAGGCTTGGATCAGAAGAGGTTGTCGGCGGGTCAAACTGCTTCAGACCCCCTCATGTGTGAGTTTCTATCGTGTGTATGTGAGAATGAATTTTAACGCCCACCTCTTTCCTCAACTGGCCAGCTGTGCAGAGGTGAAAAGTCAAAGTCTGAACTTCTCCCTTTGGCCCCTGTTTTTTTCCTTCACACAGCTATGTCATTTGCATGCGAACAAACACAACGCCATGCACGACAATGAAAAATTTGAAAAATACACATTTGCGAAGAAATGCTACGTTTAAAGTTGGACGAAGGCAAAATATCTTGGATATGAAAGCAGCCATCTTGTGCATTTGGAGCTACAGTCTGCGCAGTCCTTCTGATACACACACCCAACCAATCGGGAGTCAGTCTCAGGTGTCATGACGTTTTGTAGCTTCAAATAACATGACATCAATGGAGGACATTGGCTGTACTCCACAGTGTCTGAAGTGTGCATCATTGGACATGAAGTGTTTCCAGATGTTGTTCATGATACTGAAATCAGCCTCTGGTTATCGGACATCGTTTGTTATTCAACCCATTTTTTGGCAGCTGATAAACCGCTGCTTGTGACTTTAATGTCCCAGTGTTTGGCGACTATATTGAGCTTGATAAAAAGATGAATAAAAAATGACTTTTGGCCCGGCTTCAGAGAGGGAGCTGTGGGAGGAGAGGGACTTGAGTCTGAGAATTGTGAGGTCTGCGTCACAAATCACGACTCAGACAGACTATCAATGCTCAGCCACAGCTGATGACACCTGCCCGAACAGCTGTCAGAGCCACGACTCGTTTCACTCTCATCATCAGTCTGCACGACGGAATATCAGCACTACGCTTAATCCTGCTGAACAATGTTTTCGACGCTGATTAATGCAGCAAAATAAAAGAAACACCAGATGGACACAGATTTCCTTTAATATACACAGAGTCTTATTGGTGAAGCTCAACACTGAACAGAAGAATCGTCTTGAACCACAGTTATTTCTTTAAATATACTCAGGTCTGTAATAGCTGCTCTAGGCATCAATTATTGCCTTGCAGTAAAGACGAGCAGTGAAAGTCGCATCTGCAGTCGTGAGTTCAATCTCATCCAAATGTGCTGGAGCTTGATGAAACTGAAATCCAATACCGATTACAATAACATTAAAATCTCCTCTAAGGGCTTCGGCAATACTGTATTTCTCCAAAGCCTGGCACTTGCAGCTGCGAGGAAAAAAAAAATGAAATTGCCTTGATATTTTAATAAGCGTGGCACACTTGCTTTGCACTTGCTGGGTTATAAAAGCAAAGCCGGGCGCAGTAATGAAGCTTGAGTTTTGATTTATGTCTTATATTTGTGGAAGATTTGCAACCAATTGCATATATTTCACCAAACCAATCCAATCGGAGGCCCCGCTCCAGAGCAGGCCATCACACATTTCTAGATCTATCAAGCATTTTTCTCACTATCGCATCATAGAGAAAATGAGAATGTAAGCACGCAATATAGGTTTTCCCCCATTCCTAAATATGAACCGATCTCATTCGCGATAGATTAGAAGCAAGCCTTGCAACCTTGCAGTAATTTCACCTCCCCTCTCTTTCTCTCTCTCCGTCTGACAGAGCATTTCCCCAGAGCCTTGGCTCAAACTGCAGAACCGCTCTGTGTGGCAACTGTTGAGCGAAATGCTCTCTTAAAAGGAGGAGAGGAAGAAAATCCCACATGGAAAAGAAGAGCAGAGGAGGGAAATCAATGAGAGGAAGGAATTTTAAAACAGGAGAAATCAAGGAGCTAGGGAACAAAACAAAAAAAGAGGAAAGGTGATAGACAAGGAGGCAGACAGAGAGGGAGAGGTGGAGAAACAGAGGATCGATAACAGAAAAGCATCTGAAATCATGAAAACCACGTCCCAATGTCTCACATGATCCAAAGACGTTGGTTTTCTACAAGTTGTAGCGAGCAAAGGAAACAGTCCCGCGGTACAGGGCTGTCTGGGTGGTCGCAGTGGAGGCTGCGAGGGAAACAGAGCCGAGCTTGCTAATGAGCTCACTGCGAGAGTCTGCTCGTGTTGTTTTCTTATTTTGAAACGCAACAACCAAGAGACACGAGCAGGAAGTTAACTCATGCTGTAAAAACTCTTTCAATCTGGGTTAATTGCTCTGGGAGAGGGAGGCTGGTGATCGTCATTATCATAATAACGCCACAAACGTATACCTGTTGCCTCGTCTGAGAGTTTTCATTTGTTTGCTGCTGCAGTCAGTGACCTTCTGTCGTTCTTCCTTTCTTTCACTCGAGCTCGAATGATCAGTATCAAGTTCAAATCCCAGACTGTTCACTCCTGCTAGTTATCTTAGTGCGTTGTTTCAGCAGATCAGTTTTAGGAGCACACCTTAATGATGTGGGGTAATGACAGAAGAACACTCTGGGCTGCTTGGATCGTTAAGTGTTTCAGCTGGTGTGAGAATGTTCTCATTACAATCGTATCAGTTTTTTTGCAATTTTTCACCTCAGGATTTTATTTTCTTCCACCAAGTTTCATTAGTATAAGTTATTTATCTTCTGGGGCCAAGGTATTTCAGAGTAAAGATCAAAAATAGATTTCTGGTCATTATGGGATTGAGATCCAATAACTTTAAACCTTTTAAACACATGATGAAACCTTAAAATCCTGGAGGTAGATCGTCCCAGGTGAAGGAGCAGTCCCAGACTTCCTCTGAGTATTTCAGAGAGGCTCTGTGGAGGATTATGAGCGGCGCTGATCCTCACGGGGAGGACGAGTAAACTGTGGCATTTTTCATCTGTAGTGCTACCACACACTGAGAGGACACACTCACCACGCCTGAGACTTCCTCCTGGGCACGCTCTGTCTCGTCCACTTGGAGTGAGGGGTCAGGTGGTACATCAGCTGCCGACAGATCTTGTTGGTGGACTTGAAGGAGTCTGTCTCCTGCAACACACACAAAGGACGGATGATGGCCGGGTAAAATGTTAAATATCTTAAGTCGTTTTCAGATATGAACTCTAGACAATGGCCTGGGCCTTCTCTGGAAACGCAGCAGGAGATAAATGTACATGCAATATTTGATGAAGTGGCTCATCAGCTTTTGCGGAGGTTTGCACAGTATGAATTCCCCTCTAGTTCATTTCTGAAGATGGATAAGAGCAATAATAAGGAGAATGTGATATGTGATTTTCTGGTTTACTTTGATAATCTACTGATCTATAATTTCTGACATTAGTATGTCAAGAGATGAGGGATAAACGCAGGGTGCGAATACTTCTAGATGTATATCTGGTTTTCTGTTTCCCTCCTGTTTGTTTTTCAGTACATGTCTAGCAGAGCGAGGAGGGAGCGGGTGGGGGGGATCTACGATGTAAAATTATTCATACATGATTTATCAACATGTTCAAACTCAACTCAAATGTCAATAAACTGAAAAAAGGTTAAACGTCTTCAAAGCAGAAGGCATTTATAAATTCATTTTTTCTGGCAAACTACTGATGCACTGATTTCCACATGGTAACAAAGCATCTCTTTCATGTCACATGAAAACAACTGCTTCAAACATTTTCTACATAGAAACACTAATTTAGTTTCCCTTTCGCCTGCGTCTTCCTCCGCGTCTCCTCCTCGTCTTCACCTTCTTCTTTTCCCTCCTCCTCCCCCGTCAAAGGCTTTAAACGGAATGGGTTTGTGCTGAGCAGGCTAAATCTAATTAATGGTACAACACAACAACAAGGAAGAGGCAATGTGGCGAGAGAGAGAAACAGACAGGGGCAATTTACCTAAAGGCGATTAACCATTCCCGCTGCCACTTCTTTTCTTGGGCGACAAACAAAACATGCCTCATATACTCTATAACGTTCTGAGCTGCTGTTTCAGCCGCTCGCATGACTGAGCACGATGTAACAGCAGCGCATACTGATTCACATTGTGAGAGCGTTGTTGGGAAACTGAGGTGTGGAGGACTCAAGCATGTAATGTGCAGCACTGTAACTCTAAAAGCAACATTAGCAATGAATCATGGGTTTGTAAATCAGATTGCATGGAAACGTGACATACATTAGATTAATCTGTAACGACCATGACTGCTGTACATATATAATCTGAATATATCTCAGTGTAGTGGAAAACAGTGTCCATAGAAGCCGCAGGGCCTTAAACCCAGCTCGCTGCCTCTCTACATCCTCGTCACGTCTGACACAGAATCCTGCCACGGGTCGCCAGCCAGTCAGAGCTGCCAGCTCCTCGCTATCCGTCCCGTCCTCCTGGGCTTTCCTCGCCGAAGCAAAACACACAGATCAGATCAGTTACTTACAGGTGATTATCATCAGAGCTCTGTAAGTAAAAACTACACCGACCTTATCTTGAGGAGAAATCATCTTTTCCTCAATCTGATAAGAACATAATAGGCTTGAAAGGCCCCCGGGTCTGTGTTCTACAGCTTCTCAGAGTTGCTGCTGTAGCTTCTTCACCCTCATACACAAGTTTGAGATGTAATTTGAATTTTAATAAGTTTGATTTGTATGCCAGGTTACAAGCGGATGAGCAGACTTTCTGTCTGGATAAATCACAGAGCATCCTTGATTTTTATCAACCAAATAAATCTGACCTGTGCAGAATCAGTTTTAATGATGAAAAATCTGCTTTCTGTGCATTCAGGCCTGGTATACTGCTGTGTACTAATATTACTGATATGGATAAACCTTAGACATTGGACGTTAATAAAATATAGACAATGATAAAACCCTGATACAGAACTGTGCCATATGGCAAAGTGGCAAAGTGCAACTCAGTGACGCATGGTCTTTTTGATAAAGTGGTTTATGTAACTAAGGCAAAGAAATGCTGAAACAATATATATACATTTCGAATGATAAGAAATAAAACCCTAGAGATTCTCAAGTCAAGACCACCATACCTACAAACACCCGCCCACTGACTGGACCCCTCCACCGTATTGGTATTTTTACACCCACCCATGTATCAGCTGAAGCGCTTATCCTTTGAGGGTTGCGGAGGCGCTAGAGCCAAACCCAGCTGATATTGGGTGAGAGGTGAGAGGTGGGGTGCACCCTGGACAGGCTAAGTGTTTGCACAGCTCTGTCCAGCATCACCACCCTCCCCAGGCCACAAGGTCGTTGCCCTCAAAGTGCCCTCACTGATGGAGCCAAAGCCACACCACCCACAGGCCTCAGTGCCTGTTGACCTCAGCATGATAGCCACTGGGCAACTCCTCACACTTGCCAGTAGGAAGCAACCAAACCACATAATCTCAGTCGTGCACCTGCAGTTCCTGGAGCACAGCTGCTGTCAAACCCTGATCCAGGTCGTCCCTGTAGCCTCGCCATCCATCCCTGACCTCTGTACCCCACCATACAGCATGCACGTGTCCCTCTTTACAGCTGGGAATCAGGGGTTTATGAGAAGCTAAAACTTCTCATAAACTTTACAGAACTTTACAGAATGCACTTTGATCAGTCGATAAAACTGAAAATGTCCACAATGTACAAAGTGACTTATTTGACCTATTATTGTTCTCTTCTGTTGCTTCATCCAGAGTCAGACCGATTTGTTTTAGTGATTCTTACCCTTTTTGGACACTGCAGGTCCCGAGCTAGACTGAGCAGCAGCTCATGAGAAATGGGGTCCACCAGGTTGAGAAAAGCTGCGTTCTTGTACAAGATGTCGTTGAGCGACGTCCCCTGGAGGCCCAGGTCCTGAGAGGAAAAAGTAAAGAGACAGACAGGGATTCGATTATCTCCTTTCTATTCGTTTGATGAAAGCAGTCGTGTCTGAGCTGAGCTTAATTCAATATTCGACTGATATTTCATGGATAGTTTAATGGAAAGAGATTGTCAGTGTTTATAAGCTTTTGTTCATTATTTTCCCTTTCATCTCGCTCCTCTTATCAGGCCATGGCTGATAAGGTTCTGCCATTGGAGTGATGATAACACCCAGCTGATAGGGGTGGGGTGGTATTTCTTTGAGCTTTGTGTGTGTGTGTGTGTGTGTGTGTGTGTGCTCGTGTGCACTGAGAGCAAGGTTTACACATACCAGATTCGATTCCAGATAAATGCATTTCTGACTTCTACCTTTTATCCTCACAATTTTGGGCGGATGTGGCTCAGAAGTTACAGCAGGTCGTCTTCTGACTAAAAAGTCGGTGGTTTGATCACCGTCCATTCCACGTGCTGAAGTGTCCTCGGGCAAGATAATGAACCCCAAATTGCCCCTGATGTGTGATATCACTGCACATAGAAGCACTGGAAGAGTGCGAATAAGTGGATGGTGAAATTGTAGTAATTGAGATCAATCGGTCAAGACCAATTCAGAGGAAAACACTGTGTGATGTGCACAAAAGTTAAATAAAGGAAGGGAACAGGAAACCTACCCAGGAGTGGATGATGATATTTATATCATCTTCGGTCAGTTTCTATTCGCAGTGACACTGTAAAGATTTTGAAGCTGCTTCTTCAGGTGATGCTTCGAGCACCGTTAACATAAAATCACATAATGTCTTCAGACACATGAAATGGCCCCACCAGCAAACAGCAGCCACACACTCACGCGCACGGTCATGTCTCCATGACTTCAGAAGACATTAAGTTGATTTACTCTCATTACCTGGAGCCTCATACAAAACCTCCTTTCTAACATAAACCTAACCTTAAAGCATGCCCTTAGTTTAAAAGGGAATGATTTCTGTTATGGGCGGGGGGGCTTTGTTTTTGTCCCTTTAAAAGGAAGACAGGCTCCCCCACAGATTTAGGTCCCTACAACATGAACAAGACCCAGACACACAGACACAAGTTTGCGCAGCTACGTATATCCTTGTTAGGACACGACACTGATGTCAATGAAACCCTTATCCCTAACGCTGACCATGACCAATTGATCCTAACCTTAACCCAACCACATTTCACATTTTAACCCAAACTGTAACCAGGACCTCAGAAAGGATGTCTAGACACATTAGGATCCAGCTTAGGTAAGAAACAAATTCACACACACACACACACACACAGCAACAAAAATAAAGTAGATTAAAAAAGCAGCACAGCAAACAGCAGGGAAGACATGAGGCCGAGAGGATGAAACAAATAAGATGAAGATGAAAGGTTTTGAGGAAAGAAAGTCAAATGAATTATGTCTCTTAATCCAGAACAAATGTTACAAGATGATTTCCTCTGCTAATGCTCAATGTTACATCATCAACATAACTGCTGCTGAAGAGAAAAACACGTTTCATGGGACCAGCAGCCCCTCGTTTGAGTAGTTCTGTCATGTAAAATTGCACCAGCTAGAACACTCAATACTGTCTGCTCTATAGAAAATGAAAAGCTTCTTCCAACAGCAGGCTGGATGCTGAGGCTGTGTAAAACATGCTCTATAAGCTCTGACAGCCCTCACACTTTGGGGCACAGTGGAGGCAAAGAGGAAAACTCCCATCAGCATTTTCTCCTCCTCCAGCTTTTGAGTTGATTTATCACAGCGGAGCTCTGTGGGATTCCCTGATGTTGGGCTATCCTCCAGACCAGCCCACTGCCTGCCCTTCAATAAACCTCATTTAGCGCAGACGCTGGCTGCCACAAAAAAATCCAAAAAATGGGTGCAAGGAGGAAATTGGAGACTATTTTGCAATGATGATAATGTGTCTGTTGTGCAGCTGCAACATCAGATATGATGTTTTGTCTGTGCAGCTGCGTGGGGGATGCACAGCTGAAACTAAAATACACACATCAGAGATCTGATCCCACGGATTAATTTGGCTGATTCCTAATCATGAAAGCATGAAATGTTTTCCTACTTGTCACCATCAGGATTCGTGCTGTACACTTGCCTGCACGATTTCAGATCTCGCTACAAATGTCCTTGTGTTAGCTGCATATCTAATATGATGTCTGCCTCATCATGGAAAGTCTGAATAAAACGTCAAGCTCTGGATTGCAGAGCATCATCCCACACATGCAGTTCATTAGAATCCAATTAAATATAGTGCACAGTGCCACAGTGTTTCTGCTTCACTGGAGGAAACATTTCAGAGCTGTCAGGTGAACTCCAGCTTTGTTTACTTTCTTTCTTGGACTGAAGGATTAAATATTCTTTACTGACTTGACAAAATGTTCTGACCCTCAATTTAATTACCCAAGACTGTGGTTTTCATGTGAAAATATAAAGCGGAAGTTTCAAAGACACATATTCCCACAGTCATGGGCAATGGTGCTTTGACGGAGGATGAGGTCAATATGTCAGCTTAGTCAGATGTGACAGGACATGTGAGGATTAGCTCCTTCTTATACATTCTGATACACGACTATATTCTGATATCTCCATTGTTATTGCTACAGTTGTACATGTAACGGTACCCTAAAACAAAGGAGAACAGAGCGAGCAGGAGGAGTTCTCAAGAAATGGTGATTTTCTTTATCAATCCTCTATTCAACTTTTGTTTAGTTGAATATATTGAATGAATATGAATTTCTGTTGATCATCAAACCGGTGCAACTTTATATGCAACAACTGTGTTGAAGATTATTGCAGAAAATAACGTATGCGTTGTGAGGTAACCTTTAACTTCATAAAAAAATGCTCGTCATCCACAACAGGGAGCACTTTAATTAGCGTCCCCTCCATTGGTTACTCAGTTTGCATGCTGTAGCATAATTGATATGACCATTTGCTGATTCTTTGTTTACTCGGGAATACCTCGAAGATCCCAAACTAATCAGCTTAATAGCCCAGAAGGCAGATCTGCGATGGAGGTGTACAGCCAGGAGGCTGCTGTTATTAGTCCCCTCCTGTAATGACGTTCTTTTTTGTGAAGGAAACATGTTCAGGAATCCATCATCTCAAGGTGATTATCTCCAAATTCATCCGTCCCTGAGAGAAACAACAACGAGGCGATCTGTTTTTCTCCTCGGTCTTGACGTATTGTTAGTCAGACACTTGGCTTCAGCCCCAACGACAGACACCAGTGGCAGCACTCCGGCGTCACCTCGGTGAGCGATGGCAAGATTATTCGTGCTTCGTGAGCAGTTTAAATGCCGAGCTAAGGGGAAAGGCACCTGTGCTCATGACCAACAAATCTACATCTTGATCTTCAAAATTCCTTTTCACCCCTTGAAAGATAAAACCGGCAGCAGGACTGTTTCAATAGATATGGGAAAACTCTGAAGTTGTAGAGCAAGCTATGCATGAGTCCCTCCTGCTTCACATAAATATGAATATAAAGCTTTACAGATTTAAATTCATCCCTCACCCACAGTATCATACCCTCGGTCTATTGTTTGAGTGCAGAGCCGTAGTCTTCAGTTCCCATCAGTGCCGTTTCCTGTTTTAATCTGCACACATCTGTATAATTTCTTCTACAGCACTGTACAGATGGGCAGGGAGCTTCATGACAGGGGGCTCTCTTGATCAGAACTGCTTTTGTATGAACTTCAAAACTCTTCTTGTCTGATCAATGCGCAGCCACCAGCAGGCAGCATGAAAGCTCAAGCTGAGCCCTAAACACGATTTCCTTCTGTTTTTTTGTCTCCTCTTCTCCCTAGTTTGAATAAATCTTCAGAAGAGGAGGATTAAATCAGGGAAGGTGTTACACAGTGACGTGTTACAGATAAGACAAACACACCCTCACCTTAAAGCTTTAGATGGTGAGAAGTGGAGCTGGGATAGGTTTGCACCAATCTGCATGTGCAACAGGGGCAGATGAGAGCTATTTACCAATATATGACATTTACATTTGGATAATCTGCACCTTCACATGTTCCTCTGTGTAGTTAATATTCTCTTTTATGTATATTTCAAACCGTCGTCACAGCAGGGAACAGTAAACAATGTCAGAAAAAGAGAGCAGATATGCCTGCAGCATGCCATTCATCTAAGATTTTAAGATCTTCTTTTGACCCTGAAAAGATGGTGTTAAGTCTCTACAGTGCAATGATATGGTGTTGCCATCTTTATTTTCCTCTCTTTTATTCTTGTGAGGTAGAGATTTTGAACAAACATGCAAGCGAAAATAATATAGCATTAATGTGCGATGTCAAATGGAAACCTGAGATACCATATGCTCTAAATCTGATTTTCTCCTGATCTCTCTGCACAAATGATCAGAAAGTCACATCTGTTCATTTTGCTGAGTCTTCTTTTCAATCATTTTGGGATATTTTAAAGAGTTGGCATAAAAGACCCAGTGTTCAGTGTTTTGGAGCTCACTGAATATTCAGAACATGAGCAGCCTCCATGACCATTCCCTTTCACACAGCACAGGTGGGTGATTTCCACCAGTGCCTCAACAAACGAGGCATTTGCAAGCGCTGCTTTACAGTGCAGGCATGTCCTTAAAGCTTAAGGGTGAAGATTAATGTACAACCATTATGAGAAGTTACAAAAAGTAAATGATTATATGATTTTTACTTTTGAAAAAATTATTGACATAATGTCTCCTGCAGATGCATGTGCCTGTTGCCAGAGGGATTACGGCTGTTCCAGCTGCTGGGATCATTATGGCTCATATTATTGAATCACTGGGCTGTAGCCTACATGTCAGATTTTATTTAATAAGAGCAGAATATTGGATAAACTGATGTTGTACAAGACATATGGTGAAAATGATGGACTACATGAATGTTGTGAGGGCTGAAACATTTTCAGATTTTATTTTTACACATTTAATTTGTTTTTTCCTTGAATATAAAGTCCAAATGGTGTTTACAGATTCAAAATAAACTGAATCTTTGCTCATGTGAGTCAGAAAACTTTCTGCATGCACACAAACCCAGTTTACAGAGTCAATAACAAAGTTTCCTGCGCACTGACAACAGATTTTAATCTCTTACCTTCCTCAGCAGTCTGAGCACTTCAGCCGCCTGCTCCATCCTCTGCTCCCGGAGCAGCCTCTGGATCTCCCGGAGCCACGCCACGCGTCGGACATACGGACTGCGGTTGTTCCTGCGCATCATCCCCGGCAGCTTATCGGACCTGAGCATCAGCGAGGTGAACAAGAAGTCTCCCCCGCCACTTCTGTCGCCCTCTCCCAGCGCGTCGTTCCTCTGTCGTCTCCTCTTGGACCATCTGCTCTCCAGATCGAGGCTCCTCTGCCTGGTCAGCCTGGAGCCCATGTCACTCCTGGCTGTGAGCGGACGCGCGGCTGGAAGTGGCGGAGAGAGGGGTTTTCACACTGTGCAGCCAAAACATCACACTGGAACTTACTGCGAGGTGCGCAGACATGCATCAGCCCGCAGGAGAGGAGTCCTGCAAAAGTTCCCAGTCAGACCTGTTAAAGCATCACTGTAATAATAATAAGAGTTGTGATAATAATAATGATGTGGGGAGGGTCTCGGCGTCGTCCCCTCTCTTTGCATCCGTCCATGCACTGGCTGAGCACTCTGGCATCCTCTGCTTCACTCAGTACTGGTGCCCTCCTCAGCCAATCACATCACGACTCTGCACAGCCCGAGACTGTGGAATCTAACCTCACATCATGACACACAGGATGTTACTGTGGTGGATGGATGGATGGATAGATAGATAGATAGATAGATAGATAGATAGATAGATAGATAGATAGATAGATAGATAGATAGATGAAACAATAGGTGAATGGATGGATGATGGTGGATGGAGTGGATCGGTGGGTGGGTGGATGGATTAATGGATGGATAAAGTGGATAGATGATGGGTAGATGAGTAAAAGGATGGATAGAAAATGTTTTTTATATATCACGAGTTTATAATAATATAATAATAATAATAATATATTATTATTATTGTTACTATTTTATATCAGCCTCCACTTCATTTCATGCTCTACCGATTTGGTCACCAGCGCCAAATGTGCTGTGACGTATTTTACCTTATTATTATTCCACTCTTGTATGAATTCTATGACTTATTTCAAAACAGTATTTCTGTGATGACCCGTCTGTTCTGGACTCTCACTTCCTGTTTTATTTTGTTCTTCACTCCCTCTGTTTTGATCTCCAGCTTCACTTCCTCCCATTGTTCAGTTCCCCTCCACTGCTCTGACCTCACCTGCATCACATCAACCAATCCCTCACTCAGTATATATTCACCTGCTCACACATACACCACCTCCCTGCCGTGTTGTGTCTGTTCATGTGGGTTTACAGCGCTCATCCCTCGTGTTGCCCTCCTGTGTATGAACGTTGCCTGTGTTTCTGACCTGTAAGTTTTGATGCCTTTCAGCTTGTTTTTGGATTTTGTGATTTTTACCTGTGGCTTCGTTGTAACCTTCACATTGCTGACTACCTTCCCATGTATGACCTCTGCATTAAAACTGACACTGTTGATCTGAACTCTTGAGTTTTGCCTAATTCCTACATGTGAGTCTCTGTTCTTTGTTCAGTCATCACTGTTTTTTAACAGTTTGATACTTAATTCATGTGAATTTAACAATGAGTCTCTCACAATATCCACAGGATAAAACCAGTGTTACCATAAGTTTGCTTGTTTAATTGCAGGATTACACAAAAACTACTCAACCAATTTCCATGAAAGTTTGTGGAGGAATGGGTTTTTTGGAGTGGATCCCAAAAAAGAGGATAGAGTGCATTTAAATGTAGTTTTATAAGGGAACTGTTGGGCCTTGGTGCAGGTATGAGCTAGTTTTTTTTAACCTAGTTTCTGCTTTAATGTACCATACATTGATCTTTTTCTCTTCTGTCCCCCCTTTCTACGCACCTCTGCTCTCTCCCCTTTCACTCACACCCCAACCAGTCGAGGCAGATGGCTGCTTACACGGAGTCTGGTTCTGCTAGGTGGTGTCTCCTGATTAAAAGGCAATTTTTCCTCTCCACTGTTGGGTATCTCTTTAATGTTTTAAGGTCTTGACCTGAAAAGTGTTTTGAGCTAATGAATGTTGTGATTTGGCTCTGTACAAATAGAACTGAACTGAGATAATTAATGGAATAATGTGTCTAGAAAAATGGAAAATGTGGAGAATTTGGCTGATAAGCTACATCCATCTCATCCTTCTTTTCTGTGTTTCAGGAAGTGGAATCACTCCCAACATGAGGCTGGTAGCCAAGTTCCAGTGTTTTCTGTCACTTGAGATGGATAAGGTAAGAGTAAGGCCGGTGCTGTGCATAAATCACCACTGTCCTCAGTTATCAAACCTATATGTTGATGGATGAGGGCTGGGCTATTACCACTCATACATTTTCCCAAATCACAAGGCCAATCTATGAATGGCTCCAAACTGAGTTAGGGAAAATCGAGATCCCATTGCAACCTCCCTGAGAGCGTGTTGACTGGACCATGGAACATAAGCCTCCTCACAAATCCACTCTTTGTGTCTGAACATGTCAATGATGCTACTTTTGGGTGCATCTGACCAGGGAGCTTTCTTTTTTCAACACCAGAATTGAAAATTGAGTTTTTGGGGTATGGTTCATGGACGTTGCCTGCCCTGCAGCTCTCAACATATTTTCCCCAGACTATTTTCATTTAGACTCTGCACTCTAGTAGCGGTTGATCGTTGCACAACCATCCACTTCTTCAAGTTGTATTGTTGGTTTCCAGGCCTAACCCAGGAAAACACTTCCAGACAATTAAAGATAATAATGGCTTGAATTTATATAATGTGTTTCACAGGACCTGAGGCACTTTAGATGGCAGGCACCCAAAAACAACCAACATTATTGACTACTGAGATAATGATTCCAAGAAAGACTGAAACTTGGGTAACTGGTTTGTGATACCTGCAGAGAAAGTACTTTTTACCTTCTAGCAAGTCAGCATGTGTCAGAAGAACCCAAACCATGAACGGATAAACAGAGGAATTGGCACGCTCCGCTGTTTAAACACCTGCAAGGAAAGACACTCACTATGTATCTGGTTTCTCACCACACTCTCCCCTGGTACCAGAGGAGAATGAACGTGAGAGGCAGTACTTACCTGCTCAGATGCCTCTGGAGGACAAAGAGAGAAGCACTGAAGACCTTACAGTGTGAGGAAGAAAATAAAAACAATGAGTAACTGGACTGTGACTCAGAAACTTGACCCTTGTCCCCCCATGTTCGACACATTCACTCAGACGTCAGATCTACGCTACAACAATTTCTGATTTATGACTTGTTAGATGAGCCATCAATGTGCCACGCCCACACACCATACATGCTAACTTACTGTGCAACCATCGTTCAATCTACATATATTCCTCCCACAATGCATTTGTTAGAAAACAGTTGAAAGGGATTCAAAGTCATATTTGGTGTTTATAAATGTTAATGAGATTTTTTGGGGGGAGCCATGTTTGTTTGTAATACCCACCAACATGTGTTCACATTTGTGTGAATGAAAATATTTAGTTGTTTGAATCTGTATTTTCTTAGAGCGAGGAGTAATATCCTTTTCTCATTAGTAATCTGGTTGTAAACCAGAATAAAGAATTTGCTGCGGCAGTTTTTTGACAATAGGTCACCAACAGTTACTGTGGTTTATCCACAGGAATAATAGTCAAAAGCGCATGCTCCAAGTGATTCTCCTCATAGTCCTGCAGAATTTGAGATAACAATCCACATCTCCCCGGCTCATCCCTCTGTCCACACTACAGGTTAGTCGTGTGTGAAAGTGCTTTGTTCCCAGTGCAGGGGAATCATTTTGTTTTAGATATTAGAATGAGGTGAGTGGAGAAATTGTTTTGTTGTACAGTTATTAATACCTGTAGAGAGTATTTACAATGAAACGCTGGTGTTAAAATGTTAGCTTGGGCTTCACAACTTCATTAGAATTAAGTCTTACTGGCTGATGCATAATTTCCTCTGTCATGAATAAGGTAAACATTCTTCTTGAATTCTGTTAGGATCTGTGTTGTAAATTGATTTTCCAGTTCAGGATTCTGCGGACTGTGTCTATCCCCAGCAAACTTTGAATAAATAGGTGAACAGCTGTTTGTGAAGGACAAACTAACGTCTCATATCAGTTACTGTTATGTGTAACACTGGATAGTGTCTGTGCATTTGTGATGAAATTATTGTCAAATGTATTCAGAAAGAGTGACGGTGGTATTGTGGTATTTTATCAAATAGTAACAAAGCAGCTGCTACTCTCGTGGTTTAATGTCTCACCCTGCTTCAGTGAGGTAGAGGTGCAATCCCACATGCCTGGTTGTGAGTTACTCTTTTAAACTTCAAATCCTGTAAATGTTGTCATTCTAATAACATCTAATCCTCTCATGACCTAGATGACTAAACCTCATGGGAAATGTTCACAGTTTCTCTAGTCAGGTGCTTATATGCACATTAAAACAGGTTTCATACGATCGACGCTTGTAACATGAGACAGATGCACAACTGAAAAGGACAAAAAGAAAATAAAGGAGGGACCATACACGTAGAAGGCACTGCAAAGATGACAACTTGGAGACATAAGATCTTTTGGTGATAACAACCAACGCTGTAGACAAAAACACTGTCTAATGTATACTCTATGTCCTGCTCTACCCAGAAATCTGCTTCACACTACTAAAGCCTCATATTAGCTTCAGATCACGGTTTTAAATCAGAAGTTCAGTACATGTTACTAAATGTTATTTGATATATTCTATCACTCAGATATATGTTAAGATTTCCTTACTCTTTCTTCCAGTATTAATTCAATGAATTGTTAGGTAAGCATTGAAATATTGTTGTCTTTTGATAATTCATTCATGAATAACAAAAGACAACATGTATAATACATCACCAAAGAGATGCAATCCCCACCATGATCTCCTAGACTAAATGCAAAGCCATGGAAACAATAGTGAGCTTTATGCTGGAGAATAGAGTGATTGAATCGTCCCTCAGCACCTGGCGTATCCCTGTCATGCTTGTAGTAAAGTCTAATGGCTCTCACTGGCACTGTCTGTCTGGATTTGGGGATTTAATTGGCTCTCTCATGCTCAGGCCGGATGCTTTTTCCAGAATCTGGATTTGAGCAGGGTTTCTTGGTCTGAGGAGAAAACTGCATTCTCATCACAACAATGTTTCTACCAATTTAGCCTGTCTCCTTTTGGGCTGCACGAAGCGCCAGCTTTCTTCAAGCAACCTCATGGGAAGGGTTGTAGCCGCCCCACTCTGCATAAAGTTGACAGCATCATTATCGCTGATGGCAGAAAGCAGGTGCTGCTGTTCTGGAGCCACTGAAGAGAAACACATCCAGCAAGGCCTGAAAGGGATGTGAGGTGTTTCACTGGAAAGCTGGCTATGATTGCTGACTACAGGCACAAGAGGACATTTAGTAATTTTAAAGAAACTGTGAGCTGCCACTGTCTGTATTTTCCACAATATATTTGACCTTTCCTCTTGTCTCTGCACAGATGCTGTGAACTTGGATGTTTTGGTGCAGGATGTATCAGGGTTGGCAGCGAGAATCAAGCTCCAGGAGCAGTTGTACCAAACTGGGGAAAGTGAAGTTTTTATGGTCTTTAGTTTTAACTCCTTGGCTGCTCCTTCTATCCCTGTCCTGCCTCTCAGTACAGGAGGGACACCAGGTTTAACTCGTTAAAAGTTGTTTATGAGTTTGCATCATTTAAATTAAAGGTGAATCATAGCCCTAGTTGTTATGGGTGGGGTTTTCCTCCTCTGTACAGCGTCAGGCTTGACTCATTCTTCTTGGTCTAGGTGTCTCAGTGGTCTCATAAACCTCCCTCCAGCACAGGAAGTGATTTATAGACCGGTGTTTCCTGGGGTTTGTGGCACCACTGTAGCACAGATGAGTGTGTCATGTATTATCAAGCTTGTCATCTGTTCTTTATATTCTCAAAGTAGCTGGCTGACAGGACCTAATGTATTAATTGTACTGTGGAGATCACATGTTTACGGCACATCGACGCTGGAGTCAGCACTTATCACCAAAAGCTCTCTTGACATCTTCGTCTGTGTTTATACGTGTGTGACACTGCTTTTTCATCCTGAGATGCTTGTATTCTTTTTGTTTTTTTTTTTATTTCTGGGTCCTTCACATGGTAGAAATGTCATCAACACACCCACTCACTCATGGTTAATCATTGGGATGATCTCTTGTCGAGTTCTTACAAGGGGTGTTTCCGGAGAAAGTCTGAACGCTGGTCCGGTGATTAACCGGTGTTCAGTGCTTGTCTGAAAACAGCTTATGACCGTGGGGAGCACAGAAAGGTCGTGCAGAGTGGTTACTGTGGCAACGTAGGGTGGTTGTGATTGGATAGTTAACCAGTGTAATCAAGGAAAATCCAACAAGGACACCCCAGGATATTAACCCAGGGAATATTTATTCTCTCAGAACAACGAAAGCTTCGACGGATGAATCCGTTTCGACCATATTGAAGTGTCTTGCAGTGGAAGCAGGAAGAGTTGGCAGCTAAAGCAGCTTCGCCAATTGAATGCATTGGAGGGCTCGGCTAGGGTTGTCTGTTGTTTTTTTTCAACACTGGTGTTAAATCGATTCTTGGAAGTTGTAATTTAATACATCAACTTTTTCCTGTTTAAAATATATACTTAAATATACAAATAAAAATGAATGAAAACCGCAACAATACTACAATAACATGGAATAAGACCAATATACTTGTGCCAGTAGCTATTTGAGGTAACAGCTGAAAATAAACAACCAGCCTGAACTAAGGCTTTGATCAACTTTTCATTTCCTCAAAACATTAAGCCATCAACTTGTCACTTCTAAAAAAAAGCCTGCCTGTGATGGTTGAGGTGGGAGCTGCTCGGATGTGAGCGCAGTTTTCCAACATGGGCCGTGACACACTGCTCCATGTGTTTCTGTTTGCAACGGAGCTTTGTGACTCTAAAGATATTTAGTGCAGCTGAAGGGCTGCAGCTGTGAAAACACAACTGTTAGTGTTATCGCAGCTGGAGCTCACTGTCTGATGCAAGGACAACATGAATGCAAAAGAGGCGGCATTTATTGCGACTCCTAAGATGGTGCTATCAGTGTCAATTATAAGTGTTACCAGTATTTTCGAAACTGTTAAAGCCAAAATGGCTCAATATAATTTCATTTCCTTTTAGAAATAAGATTCTGTTTTTTCTTTGAGAAAAAAGTGCTGCTTATCTAATATAATATAACAATTGGATTGGGAGACACATTGAAGGCCATGTGGAAGAGTTTTGAGCACTTGCAAGTCAAAATTATTTCTTATACCAGTGATATTTCACTTGGACCTATGTCAGAGTTGAGAAAGTCAAACCAGGCACTGTCCCCATTGCCCTCCACCTATTGGCCTGCCTGCTTATTTAACTGACCCTACTTGTCCAGCGCTGCGCCCCTTCACACTGTCCCCCTGCAGTTTGCTCTTCTTTCCTCCCCTCGTGGCAGATGTGATCCTCTCCTTGCAGCCCTGAAAGCCTTCATTTTCCTGGTGAGGAGGCTCTTTATTTCAAACTTTAAATATCAGAGGTCTTGTGAGCAGTTGCGCAAAAAAACCCAGAATATTTATTCTGTAGGGCTGCGTTGCTTTGTAGGAGCTGTGAAACAGGGCCCTGCTTTATCATTTTCTGTTGACTACCCACAGTCATATGTCATCTATTTGAAATGAACCACCAGCAAAGTGACGCTACAGCTAGTTAATGTTAACACGGATACATTTAAGTAGCACGGCAGATAATGAACCATTCATCCAGCAGATTGTTGTTTACACTCAGTTTCAAGGTCGTGCAATTGCTCCGCTATGCGAAGATTGAGTACAGATGACTAATTATTTAAACGAAAGCTCAAAATGTCTTCTCAAGCCGTCTCTTCTGTCTGTGTGTGCATTTGTTATCCCTCACGGGTTAGGGTTTTATGGTGGGGTGGGTTAAAGTTTAATGACTTTGCTAGTAGTTACATATTGAGCACCACAGTAAGCCTATTACCTATCAACTGCTGCACATTGTGGCAAACGCTCACAGGGAACAGCCAGTTGCTGAGGCCTGCCGAGAGAAATCAAGGTAAGACAGATAATCGTTCATCTCAGCGATTCAGGAGCTGCAATTTCTGAGAAATAGTCGATCTGAATCACAAAATTATTAGATTAGATAAGAATTTGAGTCAGGCATTTTGAGAGGTTTTAATTGGAGTCTCTTTTGTCGCAGTAAAAGATGTGACGGCAGGCTGCAGTTTTATATAAATGGCTTGTGCACTGTAACATGCAACAGAATCTCTTGTGTTGTGCTACTAAGTCATTTCCCTTGCCTGTTATATAATCTGGTTTCATTCTTTTGACAAACATGGAATCTGCATGACAGTAGGCTTTAGGGTTTGGAGGTATTATTAGGCTAAAATACTCCAGGCGGCTTTTTCTCTTTGTGTCTTATTGGCTGCAGAAAGTACAGCCAGGATGACTCACAGCCTCGTTGCTGGATCACTTCACAGTTACAACAGGATGTTGACACTATCATTTAGAGGCTTATTGGCCACCGAGAACTCAGTAAACATTCATGTTATTTATCTGTGCTGTATTTTTTTTAAATGTAAATTTTAAAACTGTGCAGTATACAGTAGCAGTATACAGCAGGTCGTTTCTGTGTGAAATGGCTGATTAACCTACTTTTATTTGGACATTTAAAAATTCTACTCCACCTCTGACATTAGGGTTATCTCGTCGTAAGTGTAAAATTATTTTGGGATGTTTGGGCTATAGCATAATGTCTATTGAAAGGCTGGATGCATTTAGGTTTAACTGTTTATGTATTTCAATGTGTAAGTTTTAAGATGAGTGCTTCAAATTTGTGAATTCTCTTTTAGAGATGGAATGGAAGTTTTTGGAGTCAGTTGATAATCCACTTAAGCCATTGGCTTTATTGAAAATGCATGTGTAGCCAACTGTATGGAGAGGTCCGATCAGCTCAATGGATGGTTCCAGTTAATTACATCCGCCAAGGAAGTTGTGTTTTCATCAAAAATCAAAAATCCGGCTCATTTGAGGAACTGATATCTATTGGGCCTCGGCGGAGGTGTGCACTCTACCAAGTGACATTCTAGTCACATGACATGCGATGCGTAATTCTTGCTGATGAGTTTACTGTGGGGTTTGCTTGTTTCTTATTCCCTAAAGAGCAGTTTATTTTTATTTCAGGTGGCTTTTCATACATTTTCAGACACAAATTATAAGTTTTTTCTCTTAACAGACATTCAATAAATTATTTAATCCCTCCTTAGCTGTTAAAATGGTCAAGAAGTCAATAGTTGTGGCCCTGGCGATCCTGCTCTTGGCGTCCGTTGCCACTTTTGTGGGTGTCTTCTTCAGCGTGGGGAGAAAGAAGGTCCCAGGTCAGCATGTGTACTCGAAGGCAGCTGTGGCAGCAGATGCTGGACCGTGTTCCGAGGTCGGCAGGTGAGACATACTGTACAGGCTTGTTTGTGCATTCAAACATACAAAAATAAACACAGGAGATGTATCATTGCTCGCAGAGACACACTCATGCATGTAATCCAAATTAACCTGCTTTATTTGAATGTGTTTATTACATGCTTCACCTGCACAGGGTCTTAAGATGTTTACTCTAATCCTCCTCTTATCTCTCCTCTTTGTTTAAATCATTTTTACTGCAGAGATATACTGCAGAAAGGGGGATCTGCAGTAGATGCCTCCATAGCTGCTTTACTCTGTGTTGGACTCATGAATGCTCACAGCATGGGCATCGGAGGAGGACTCTTCTTCACAATCTACAATGCAACAAGTGGTACGCAACAAAATCTTCTGTTGTTTGCTTCCCCACCCGCACAACAAACCCATATACCTCCCAGATAACCTGGACCCTGTCGTCATTTGCTCCTTTGTCACTTCTAAACAGGTAAAGTTGAAACCATCGATGCCAGGGAAACGGCACCACGCAATGCATCAGAGAACATGTTCGGCAACAGTACAGATTTATCTCAGAGAGGTAATGTTTAACCTTTGCTATCAGACATGGAAATGAGCCAAGGAAAGCTATTGTCACAGAAGATGGCCTTGTGATAGGGACAGACAATGAAAGATTAGTGTTTGTCTGTGTTGTCTCAAATGACCCAACTGGCTCAGGGAAAGTAGGAATAAAAACTATTTGTACAAGTGCCCAAAACTTGGAATAAGTTATGAGCCAATAATACAAGAACCTGTCCCCTTGTTTCCCCTTGTTTGGCAGGAGGGTTGTCTATTGCTGTACCAGGGGAGATTCGAGGTTATGAGTTGGCACACAGGCGACATGGTAAACTGCCGTGGAAAGACTTGTTCCAGCCAAGCATTCATCTTGCAGAAAAAGGTTTTCCTCTGGGCAGGGCACTTGCCTCTGCTCTGTCCAAAAACAACGAAACGATCATCAAGGACGCAGCTCTATGGTGAGGGACGTCAGCCTGAGGCATCCGTCAATAAACAGATAAAATCATTAACTTTTTATACTTTAAGTTATCCTTTCCTCTCTTTCAGTGAAGTGTTTTGTGGAAAACCAGGTGAAGTCCTGAAAGAAAATGAAACCATTGTATTTACCAAGCTTGCACAAACCTATAAGAGGATAGCTGAGGAGGGTCCTGGTGATTTCTACGAGGGAACACTGGCTCAGAACCTTGTCACTGATATTCAGGCCGCAGGTAATTTATTTTTGATTGTCTTTAGAAACCTCTTAGACTGTGTTCAAATAGCCAGACTTCACGTAATGTTATCCTAAAATTATTTTTTTTCTAGTTAGAGACATAGATAAGCACATATTACTCATAGAAAAAGCAGCTTTTCTTAGTTTTTCCATTGCTCATCCTGTCACAGTGTGTAATGCAGTATACACACTGAATTTACTCCACTCTGAACATGAACCCACCTACTGCAAATAACAGCAATAGCAAGTTTCCAGCTTTGTGATTCACAGTGAAGATGTTGCATCTTCATAACTTTATTATATTTGTGCAGATTAGATCATCTTTCTGTTCCCACGGAGCAAAATTACATTCTAGCTGTCATCATTGTTGTGACTGCCGTTATCACGAATATGCACATGCTGAAAGGACTTCAGGATGTGTGATATAGTATTTAACATGCTCCTCCAATTTCCATGGTATAGGAGGATTTGTGTTTCCAGCTCTGGCCAAGTGTGCATTCCCAGTGTTTGTCGATCTGTGTTTAGGTGGTATCATCACGATGGAGGATCTGAGGGATTATGAGGCTGTCTTGGATGAGGACCCGTTAAGGGTGGATGTGGGGGAGTATAACATGGCTGTTCCAAATGCCCCCGCGAGCGGCCCTGTGCTCTCACTGATATTAAACATCTTGAATGGTAAGCCTTGATGTGTTGTCCAAAAGCACCCTGAGTGGGAAGAGAGCGAGCTTTAATGTGAGCTGCCTTCACTTCACCATTCACTGTCGCAGAAAGGACTCCTCTGTGAGCAGCAGGCTGATCTACCCTTAAAATAAAAAGCTCAGTCGACCTCAGGTTACCCAAGAGTGCTTTGAACCATATTGTCACATGTCTGCAACAATTCAATATAGGCTGTGAAGAATATATTCAAATTCTTGGCTATAAAAAAATAATATTTGTGCCAAATTGTTTCCTGCAGCTGTGTCCAACTCTTCCACGTCTGTTGTAAAGTTGAAGATATTGATCCACAGACTCGTCTTTGTTGAATAAAAAACTATAACTACAGGACTCAGCATGAAAACTGTGTGAAACCAGAGCTGGTCTGGCTTCCACTGATTTCCCAGCTGTGCTCTTGCACAAGGACTTTTTCAAGGACTAACATAACGTTTCAATCCCTGAATGAAATAGCTGTAATGGTAAAATTAATCAAGTCAAATTAATTAAAAACGATTAGTTAATCTTCCAAATATCCAAAAGCTGCTACTTAAAGTGTGGAAATTAAAGAACAAATACCAACACCTGTCATTGTTTTATTATGTAAAGCAACCTATTTTATGTATAATTTATTTACATTTTTTATCATACATTGTACAAAGGGCAACATTTTCATACAAATACAATCCTCCATCTGGTAACGCTGCCTGAAACAATCAGATGGGGCCTCATTTCTACTTTCCTTACCTTCTATCATCATGCAATCATTTCAACATCCTCCTTCTGTTGGCTGCTTCTAAGTTTGAAACAGAAAAACCCAAACTCTCCGCGTTGAAGTCACTGTCTCTTTCCAGTGACAGCGTCTGCCTCCTGGGATTAAATGAGAAACTTCCTTTTAAAGTGTTTAATCCCCCTGAACCATCCCTCGATCTCCTCTGACTGACCACCCACTTACTGTGCCCTCCTGCCTCATAGTAACACTAATCTCAACAATTTGCCTCTAATTGGACACAGTTGAGTGGTGGAGGCTTCCCGCACACATTTCAGAGAATGCCTAAAACTTTCTTTTCAGCTGTCTCCCTCTGACAGCTGAAAAACCCATCAAACCAAACCTCAGCCTGTTTCCCAGAGGCTTTCCTCCGCTTTCCTCCTCTGTGCCTGTCAGCTCAGGCTAATACTCATGGTCACGTCACAACAGCGTTTAGACTAAATAAAAACACAGGGGCATTCTGGGTCTATTCTAGCTGTCTCCATCTACCTGAGCAGCCATTGGAATGAAGACCAGTGAATGAGGCGGTGGTTTAAATTGAGTTACTGATGTCAGTTGTATTTTCTACAGGGTACAACTTCACCTCAGACAGTATGGCGAGCACTGGGAAAAAGATCCTCACGTACCATCGCATCGTGGAGGCCTTTCGCTTCGCTTATGCAAAGAGGACGTTGCTCGGAGATCGGAAGTTTCTCAACATCACAGATGTAAGGTCGTGACTCACAACTCCTTTGGGGGATGGAAGTGAATCACACAATAAAGGCAGTGAAAGTCAAATTTCTTATGATTAATTGGTTTTGTCAGTGTTTTATACGGAAATTGTGTGGAGAGTGTGTCAGCTGTTACCAGCGCATTTAGAAACCGATAAAAACATCTTATATAATATATTTTAACAGCTACTAACCTTGTGTGGAAGTGATTATCATTGCTGTGTGGCCTGGCTCAGTTTAAACCCTTAGAAAAGCAAATGCATGTAGAGATTAAAGTAGTTAGTGTTGTAATTGGCATCACTGGAGCCACTGGGACTTTCCATCATGAAATATTATCAGATTTGCTGATGTCATAGTTTCCCCCTCACAGTGCAGCCTCACTGCTGTTTTGGGGTGAAGTGATTGTTTTTCCAGAAAACAAAATAGCAGTTTTATCTGTGGGAACTAAAATACTTTAAAGGAATATTGAATTTGTACATAGATTTGTGTGGGAAGTCGTCCAATGCTGGTATCATTATTAGACCACTTCAACAAAATCCCCTAAAAGTGTCTCATGTTTCAAGTTTATGTTGAATTTGTTGAAATTGAACCAGGATTAGACTCCAATGACAAGAAAATTAAATACTAAGCAATTATATTTGCTGTCAAGTAAAGCATTTAAAAATCCTTTTTGTTCCTCTATCGTCCCGAAAGCTCATCCAGAATATGACTTCACGTTTCTATGCCAATGAGCTGCGTGAAAGGATCACAGATGAAACCACACATCCCATTGCATACTATGAGCCGGAGTTTTTCCTGCCTGACAACCACGGGACATCGCACATGTCTGTGGTGGCAGAAGATGGAAGTGCTGTGGCAGCCACCAGCACCATCAACCATTTGTATGATGTCCTAACTGGACTTGATAAATATTCTCAGCAATATTACTGACTGTGTGTCTCTAACTTCCCTGATGTCCTAATGGTTTCTGGTTTCCTGCAGTTTGGGCTCCAAAATCATGTCAAACTTGACGGGGATACTTCTCAACAACGAGATGGACGACTTCAGCTCTCCGTTCATTACAAATGGCTTTGGAGTGCCTCCTTCACCCAACAACTTCATCAGGCCAGGTAAGATAAACACACACACACACACACACAGGGTTGGAATGTTTCACTGCGTTTTTTATGAACTGAGACAAAAACATGGAGTTAGTCAAATGTATTCACACAATTTAGAAGTGTGGTGGAAATTTGAATGTTTCTTTGGTCTCAGAGTGAGTTTTATTGAAGCTTTCTGCAGAAAGGATCACACGTGCAAGGTGGATGTTGCGAATGTGATGAAAATGTATCTGTGTTTATATTTGAGTAGAATCTCTGTGTGGGTTACACCCTGATAAAAAAAAAAAGGGGGGGGGGGGGGTGTATTGTTCTGTGTCTGGAACATGTGACTTATAGATTGCATCATTTCTCTGTGTGATAGGAAATAATGTTATCTGTGGAAAGGATGTGTGTCAGTCAGCTGAGTAGATAAACAGAATTAAACCAGAGTACAACAAAATGTCACTATTGATTCAGGTGACCTCAGGATCCACTTCTGCAACACATGTTACGACAATGGGGTCACATACAAGACAGTGGATGTACATGCTATGTGTATAAAGTTTATGTAAATGTTTATGTTACAAATATTTGCGAGGATATGCATCGATGAAGCCCATCAACACAATTGTGCTGTTCATCAAATATTCAATCACAACATTAAACATAATTAACACTGAACTTACAATTCTATTCAAAGGGAAAAGGCCAATGTCGTCTATGTGTCCAACCATCGTCTTTGATAAAAACAACAAGGTTAAGATGGTGGTCGGAGGCTCAGGAGGAACGAAAATCACCACTTCTATTGCTCAGGTGAGACACGAACCTCGGTACGGAGCTGAAGCAGCGTTGTATAAATCAGTGGTAGTGTTGTTATTGTTGTTAAACTATTCGTGACGGGTGTGTTTGCTGTGTTGCAGGTGATTCTGAATGCACTGTTCTTCAACTACGATCTGGAAAAAGCTGTGTCGCAGCCGAGGCTCCACAACCAGCTGAGTCCCAACACTACTGTCGCCGAGCCTGACTTTGACAAAGTGAGTGTCACAGCCACACGGCAAACCGCTCTGATCTATATGATGAACAGCAGGGCAGTGTGGTGTGGAAACAATCCTTCAACCAAAAACTGGCACCGGGGACACTGTTCATTATATTTACCTTCAGGGATCTGTAATGGAGCGAGGAGAAAAATATCACAGCCCTGGTTTGGAAATGGTGTTGTTTGTGGTCTGGATAAAAATAAAAACCAGTTAATTTCATGATACATCAGAAGTGCTTGTCAAGTTTACAACTTCATTCCACATATTGTACCAGAGTTGCTGATAAGCTGTCATTGTTGCTCAGGTAAAGATAAAAACTCTGCTGCCCTTCCTGCACAGTAAATATTACTGATGACTCAGTTGAAACTAGCAGGTGTAAATACAGACCCTTGTTTAATTATTCAGACTAGTGAAGTGCACATTGTTTGGAATTGAGCCGCAGCAAATAAAAACCAGCTCATGGACTCAATCTGCAGAACCCTTAAGCTGCATCACCGCTGCTGCACAAAGTTATTCAAAGTTCAGTGAACCTGTAGACTCAGAACCCCACCGGGAGAATTTTATCTATTCAAATTTTATAAATATTGAACAAATCACATGTCTAAATCACACCAAATTCAATACGGCACTTCTTCTGGCCCTAGGAAATACACTTCCTATGTGAAGCAGATAAATCATCTTGTCATCTACATACAAATATTTCTGGAATTATTAGATTACAACCTCTTTGGGAAAGCCCTGATCATTATTCTTTCTTTTCTACCAGGATATTTCACTCCACACATTTAAAATGAATTGCTTCCTTAAACTTTGGAATAAGAGAACGAAACCTTGATTATTATTCTTTCACGTGGATGTGAAAACATCAGCTGGCTCATAAAACAATAGATACCAAACTGGTCCTGAGGTCTTATCTGTTAGTAATGCTCCAATATAAACTTTTTATATGACATTAACATCCAACCGATTTTGTGTTATTCATTTGTTTTTTGCTGCTCTTTGTTTTTCTTAGAAGAGCTGGACTTGTATTTATGCAAATGTCAATAAACTGATCTAAGTGAAACTCATTTATCTCTGAGCCAATCTATGCTAACACGTTCTGTACCTACATTTTGGAATAATTCTACTTTGTCATTTTACAGAGCATCCTGGATGGTTTGGCATCGAAGAACCATGAGACAGAGTACCTCAAATCCACAGGAGCTGTGGTGCAGGCGGTGGTTCGTGACGAGGACGGACTCCACGCTCAGTCGGATCCTCGCAAGTGGGCCTACGCTGCGGGGTACTGAGGTCGTAAACACACACCTGTGATTGTGCAGAGGGACTGTAGCTGCGTGAATCGCAACACTAGAGGTATTAAAGGAGCAGGAACCACCCTCAGCCCTCCTGGACATTGATTGTTCTCTCATTACGTTAGAATAATGCTCATGTACTTCAGATAATGGAGCAGATAACAAAAAAAACATTGTTATGACCTCGACAACAAAGTGCCTCAGTCTGAATCTGATTCTGAAAATGGAATCTTATGTCACCTCATCTTTGTATGTAAATAAGAAATGAACTTGAGGGAAGATGTGGAATATTATTTAATATAGTTATACTGGCATTCAGGTTTATAAAAGGTGAAACTGAAGCTGGACAACACTTACTTTTTAATCCCGAAATCATTTTTACCCTGTCCCAGTCAGAAATATGTTTGATTCCCACTTATTTATGAAGCACACATCATCAGCTGTGTGGAGCTGCTTGTTGCAATGATCGAGTTTTAAAATGTTATTACTAACAACTGAACTAGTAAACGAAATATTTAAAAAAATAAACTTCAACAGTGAACTCAACTATCAACTCTGTCATTTAAAACTAACATGTTTCACTGGGCTCGTTCATGCGAGGTGACGGCAAACAGAGAAAGCATCTGAGAGCTGCTGTAAAACACCTCGGGGACAAACAGTCCTTCAGCACATATTTAATGACTTACAGTAATTTCCCACAACCCAGAGTGCAATGGCCTGTAATGATCCCATAACAACATTACAGCTGTTGCTGCTCACTGTCCCCACTGGGACTCAGGCCTCGGATGTAAAATGTGTTGCATGATTACTGAAATGTATAAAAGTGTACATTTATAATGACTTTATCAGCTTTTAGCTGCAAATGACTGGGATAAAGATATGTGAATAAAACAGTGTTTGACTCACAACACAAACTAGATTCAATCAAGGATTTTCCTGTGTTGAATTATTTATTTGGTCATTTCCATTATTAATGGAAATTATTTATTTTTGGCGCATTTTGTCTGCATTGATAGGACATAGTTCAACTGCGAAATGGAGAAAAAGAAGGTTGTAAAACATGTCGCAAAGATCATGTTGCAACCCAACCAGAGGACTCAAGCCAACTTATGCATTGTGCACGTTAGCTCTCCTGCAAGTGCAGCCATCTGAAGCATGTATTGCACCAAATATAATGTTTTAATGCTTTTGTCAGATTGGTACAATAGATGCTTTGTGCAAATGTTTGCCCGGTCATCTGTGTGACAGATGTTCGATTAAAGTCCTTTCATTTAATATTTGTCACTTTCACCAAGGATGTTATATTTCTTTAGTTCTTATGTTTGTAAGAGAGAAAGCTGGACAAATTACCATGAAACTTAGTGGAACTATGTTGTAAAACCGCAAAGAACCCATTAATCTTAGGTTTGAATCCAAGTCAGGGGGCGGATCCAGGATTTTTTTTATTATCACTTTCTTTAACATAGTGATTGGATGTTTTTTGATGAAAAAACAGGCCATGTTTGGGGGACTGTGTGTTATTTGGTGGAGATCCAAATACAAATTTGGATTTAGTGAAACTAAATGTGGTTTCATTAGAGGACTGTTGGGACTTGCTGGAGGTCAGGGCTCCACTGAGGGCTATTCTAGCGTTGGCTTGTTTTGCTTGTCTTGTAGAAAGAAAACAAAATATTGGGAGAGATGGGAGAGGACATAAAACAAAGGTCCCAAGACAGTAGTGGTAATGGTAAAATATCTTATGTGTGATGCCAATAATTTTCAAAGAGATGGTGAATGTAAAAATGAGTCCAGCTGGAGTTTTACTTCAAGGCCCAATTAAAGACGACCTCACTTCTACAGCTCAGAAAATAAAACCTTACAGCCCTGTGTATATCAAGGTATTTTTATTTTATTCACCCCATCTGCCTCGAATGCATCACAATTCAAATTGACTTTGCCTCATCAGGCGACATCGTGACTAAAAATGTGTTGGAAGTTGAAGAGAGTCGACAAAATTCTCAGCAGCGTCTTCTCCGACTGAAAAAGCGGAGGCCTCTTCTCCTCACAGTCGCTCACTTTAAGTGGCTGTTTGTACAAAGAGGGTGATATCACGACACCAGGGCTTATCACAGTCACAGCTTATCCACATTAAGTCATTTGTCATACAACAAAGATGGTGCGGCTTCAGACAGACAAAAGATTTGCATGTTCTCATAATTCACATCTCTTGCCTCAAAGGAAAATGGAGCAGAATCCACTTCAGAAATCATCATTAATTCATGAGTCTCTCCACTGAAATGCATCTCATTACTGCGTCTATTGTTTCAGTGCTGCTGTGGAATGAGGCAAACAGGAAAACATGGAGTAGATTGTTGCTGATCAGATAAATGTCGAAAGAGAGGAAGAGGGTGGTTAATAAAGTGTATTGTAGGTTTCAGCTAACCAACCTGCACGGTCTGGTGATGATAGAAGACAGGTTTTGTTTTTGGAATTTATTTATTGTGACAAAACATATTTTACAGAGTTGTAACAAAAGTGTGAAATTATTTTACAAATCATGTGTAAAAAAATAGAAAAGATTTGTGAAAAAATAACTAAAATGATTTTGTTATTGAGAATCTGCTCTGTTTGTTCGAAAAATACGTTCTACAGAGTTTCCTTTATGTTTAAAGGAAGATCAGAAAGTGCTGTAGAACCTGAATGAAGCTGTTTCACATTCACTGAAAAGGTCACAGTCAAAGTTGGGGCTCACATCGCTCAACAGCCTTCAACTCACATGTCTGTCTGGGTATCACTGTGAAGGGTTACATGGCTCATCCACAGTTCTTTTAGACAGAAAATGTGACTAGTTTTGGTTTCGGCGTAATTTCTTCAACTCAAACTCACTAAGTTGACTAGTTTGATAGAAAAGATGGAGTTATGATAAACTGGACATATCCTTTGAGATTACTTGCTTCCTGTTGTTCACATATGTTGTCAGGGATGCAGCATTTTTCTTAAGGCTAAAGCTGTTGTCAGTCTTCAGGGTGGATTTTAGTGGGATGGCGTTGCATCCTCAGCGTCTCTCTTGTTAGTATCCAGCCGACACTCCAAACTTCCTTTCGTCTGATACAGCCACAATGCAGCCTTTGTCTTTTTCCAAAGCATTGACTACATTGAGGAAGAATTTCCATGTTCCTTCTTTGTGTCCAAGATCCCTGAGGCCATTTTTCACAGACTGAGGGGAAACACATACACACCCAAACACATTAATACCACTAATCCTTCCCACTTCAGAGTTTAAAACTGATTGCAGGTCAATTAAATCTCTATTTGTTGAGATTATGCCCCGATAATCTCCGTCAGAATCCATGAATTAAATAGAAATGGTGTTCATTTCACAGTTTGGTGAATTTGAATGCTGTAAACACACAGTGAGGATGGAAATATAAATACTTCACCTTGTTAAAACCAGTCTCATAGTTCACATTGTTATTTGTGTCGACATACACGATGGGAGCAGCGATGGCATCTTTCAGACTCATCCCCAGCCACAGGTGATTCATTAAAGACTGCGACAACAATGGATCATCAAGTCAGCAAACAAATAAGAAAACCACACAAACAAGTATGCAAGGTTCAACTGAGTTACCGAGGCAACCGCTGTGGGGATCATGCTTCCTCCTGATCCACCAATCACGAGGATTCCTCCAGACTCCAATTCCAGTATCACAGGAGTCATCGAGGAGGGAGGCTGTTCACCTGCAACAACAGTTAGACTCCACATCAGCCTGAAAAGAGACTTAACATCTTAAGTTAAGTAAATGTCTTAGATTCAAATGGCTTCGGCTAAAGGGCTCCGGTCCTGTATGTGAGTTTACCTGCCCTCACTGTGTCTGCTCGCCCACAGAAGTCAGACAGCTCATTGTTGAGGATGATGCCCGTTCGTGGGGAGTAAATGCTTCCTCCGAATCTATACGACGAAAAACACACAACAAACTGAGAGGATGAACTTTGTATCACAGCATCATTTCTCAGAATCAGACAGTGATGCGTAAAGCTTCAGTCTGCGGCCTCTTCTTGCTCACAATTGGTTTATGGTGCTGGTGGCAGAGACGATCAGTCCGTCTTCATCCAGGACCGACACGTGCGTTGTCCCGAAGTGATCGGGTGGCGGCTTGACGCTGTAGTAGTAGGAGTTTTCATGAGTCTGGTTTGAGATCATCTTTCTGATGCGGTTAATGAAGGAGGGATCAATCAGATGTTTTGCACTCTGGAAAAAGGACATCACAATGAGACAGTGCTGAAGCATCCTCTGTTGTGCTGGACTGAGATGTAATCATGTCCACACTGGATCTCACACTGCTGCTCCCTCTTTTCTGCTTGACTTAATGGGGGTGTATGCAGGGGGTTGAACTTGGCTGATTTCTCTCTTAACAATCTCCCAGTGAAGGTAATGGATTCTCTAAATTCTCTTAACTGCAACGATATATTTGTGGTGTTCTGGGGATGCGTGCACTCGACCAATCGTGATTTCATTTAGTCCCTACAAAATTTAGATGCCCACAAGATGAAAAGGAATTAAATAAGTATCCAACCATTCCATTAAAGACAGGATCGCTGATGCTCCTCTTTTGTCCGTTAGCGAATTTAAGTGCCTCTATGTAATGATGGTAAATCTGAATCCTTTGTTTAACACTCAAGGAGTCTGGAGTCAAGGAAAACTCTGCAGAGCAAGAGAACAACAAGGTACATTAAAAAAATTTTTTTTCTGTCTTTTGATTTTTCTTAATAATTCACAGTGAATGATTAGATGCTGTAATTTGATAAACACGATAAAACAACCTTTTAAACCTTCCATCAGTCTGAGAATAAAGCCAAGCAGGGCACCCCCAGCAGGCGGTGGCGGGATGTGCATTCGAGTGTTTCCTAAAGGAACCGTCCATGCATCCTGCACCTGCACCTTGTACAACCTCAGATCGTCCATTGTTAACGTTCCACCTGAGGAAACATGCAAAACCACCTTTAAGTGCACAATATTTATCCCATTTTCTTTTTCCATATATTCCCCCTCGCTTGCCCAACCAACAGTATTTCATCATCACCCCGACCTGCAGCTTGTATGTCTTGAATTAAGTCATGTCCTATCTTTCCAGTGTAGAAGGCATCTGCCCCCCCCTTGGCTATGGTTTCCATGGTTTCAGCTAGTTTAGTAAAATACAGGGTGTCTCCTTGGCTCAGAATAGTTTTGTTCCCGTTGCACAAAAGTTGGTGAGAACTGGAAAAGAAAAAATCTATGCATTAGAACATGTTACAAATATAACAAAACAAAATTCATTGAATGGAGATACTTGTACAATGCAATAGTTTCATTTGGGTGACCTCTGTGTGTTTCATGCAATTCACTGATCATCTATTAAATTACATGCATCACTGAATACTCTCAAATATTCTGTTTCTGCATCCGAGCACTCACTCTGATTCAGTCTCACAGAGTTTTGCACACCACAATTAACCCCCAGACGACCCCTTCTTAAACCTGGCATTAGGGAAAAGCAACATTTCACAAATATTTCTGAAAGAAGGCGAGTGCTGTTTTTATTTGTGGGTCATGTAGCTGTGGTAAGAAAAACAGAATTAACCTTTTTTTGATGTTGGCAAAGAAGTCATTTCCACTAATCTAAAAAGTGTTGGAGTGAGCGAGTCGACCAGGCTGAACTATGACACAATGTGAAATCCTGATGGTTAAGTGCTCGGGATTAATTGTTAATCGGGGAGGTTACATAAAACAAATGTGAAATGAGTTAAACTGGGAATTTAGACCCTTTGAGTTTATCAGTGTCCTCAAACGTTTCTTATCTCGAGCTTTGCTGACAATGATCACTTTTGGAGAACTTAAGTCATTCAGTGAATAAGAAGCTGTACCAAAGAGATGATTTTTCCATGATGCCTTTCACCATGGGGATATTCAGGATCTTTGCTAGATACTTTGACAAAGGGATGCCCTCTCTGGCCAGTCTGATTGTCGGCTCGAACAGCTTGGCCCAGGGCAGTTTCCCGTATTGTCTGTGAAGGAACTCGTAGCCCCGCAGCTCTCCGGGCACGCCGATCCACTGGCTGCCTGCAGAGGCGAGGAGGGAAACAGTGCAGCTGCATTCAACACATGAAGGAAACGTGACTGATACAAACTTCAGATGGACTGACGCGTATAATAGAAGGAGCAATGCAGTGAAAACTAGAAGTGCATACCTCCACCAAGCCAAACAAGCCTCTTTAAACTCAATCAAGCTGCACCAAATTGCGCATAAAAATCAATATCACTAACCCTTAATGTGCCTGATTTTTAAAATCAAGATCCATAAATGATGAAAATGTCAAAAAGAAGCCAGTTTGCGAACCCATACCCGCTCCTGTGACCACATCACCCCTGACGGCCAGAACCTCCACCTGCTCCCGCTCCCATCCGACTTAAAATCCTCCTCCTCACCCACAAAGCACTGCGAGCAGGCTCCTTCCTACCGCTTATTATGATTATTCTTATTTTTAAAAAGTCCTGAATCCCCACCAAAATGTGATAGGATCTTCCCTGACCCATACTGCAGCATTCTTCCACAAAGTTTCATAGTAATCTGTTTTGTAGTTTTTGCGGAATCCTGCTTACAAACAAACCAACCGACAAACAAATGGACAGGGGTGAAAACATAACCTCCTTGGTGGAGGTAATAAAGTGTTACCTGTTATTTCTAACAGGCTTATAAGAGGACACCTGAAACACCTTGTTAAAAGTGTAAGATAGTAGATTAGTAAAACATTTCTCTCAGAAGATTTATGAAGAACAACTGTATAAGGAGAATATTAGTGATTTGACATTGATGCACCACTCTGTTCACCTAGGGAAAGCCCAAACGTGGTGGGACAGTCATTCAGCAGGTTTGGCTGGAAAGACTTTGGCACCGTCTCTCTGAAGTTGTAGACTTTAACGCTGCCTAGAAGAGATGAGAGATTAAAACAATCAATACATATCATTTTTAGAAAGATCAAAACCCAAGTGGGGGTAAATGAACAAGAGGCCCCCACCTGTTTTATTTCTTATAGTGAATATAGACCCTCCTCCGATCCCCATGCTCTGAGGATTGATCAAGGACGTGCACAGAAGAGCTGCAATGGTGCCATCTACTGCCGACCCTCCCTGCTGGAGCATTTTCCTGGAAAAACAACCAGTTTTCACAGGGTTTATGCGAAATGTGAACTCACAGTCAGTCACTGACTGCTCAGAGTTTGCCGACCCACAGAGCATTTAAAACTGCTGAATGATATGAAGTGCGCAGCTCAGGGTTACATGACGAAATATTTGAGTGCTTACAAAAGGCACGTTAAGCCATGTCCTGATGCTTGAGGCTGACTTTTTATTAGCTTAGCTCACTGACTTAATTATACACCATAATAGAACAAGCAGCCTGAAATCTGGATCCTTTTCAGAATGGAGTCTTTTCATCCAGGAGTCGGCACAGGGGTCAGATTTGTTCACTGAGCGACATGAGAAGGCAGCATTGGGAATGTTCTGGCTCCGTAGGTCAGGCAGACCCAGAGAAGCAGGAGGCGGAGAAACAGATTAAGATTTATTCGGGGAATCAATTTAACGGCATCTCAAAGGCCGTGTTAGCAGAGTGGTCACTGCTGGTTTGTGCCTTTAAACCGGAGATGCAATAAGTTCATTAAGCAGGAGCCAAATTAAATGAAGATTGCATAGTTTGCACAGGAAACACTGAACTGATGATACAATTTGTGTGCAGATGCGGCAGTTTGTTTCAATCCTGATAGATTCTTTCAGGTGTGGTCTATTTTTTATCCCTATAAAAGGATTGAAGACTTTTGTGTTTGTTATATCTTATCGATTCAAGTAAAATTGAATGATTTGCTCTGTTTTTCAGGTTTAACAGAGCAGTCTTAAACTTTATTGATTTCTATCTTTAAATATATAAATGTCAGAGCGTGTCCTTGAAAGTGTTTTCCATCACGTGGATGTGTTGCCAGTTGCCTCAGCACTAACCCTGTGAAACCTGATTCATTGTCTCTGCTGTGAACTGGGAAATGAACTCCTGACAATTCTTGTCGACAAAAAGAAAAACTTTCATTAACTGAAAACAAAAGCCGGACGTTTTACATGCACAGGAAAAAGAATCTCACCTCTTTTACTTTCTCTATATTTAGAGAAAGAGACTGAGTTCACATTAGGCCTCACCGCTGAGGGGGTGGCCTCATTAGAATGACTGACATCCAGGGGAGTTTTAAACCCTGGTTTTCTTTCATAATCACTTGAAACAGGAAAATAAACCAACAGGAGTGAGGACTATGAGAGAAAATCTTGTCATGTCATGTTCTGAAACTGTAAAATAGAATCTGAAAGCTTGATATTAAAACCGCTTTTGCGAGATCCGTTTTGAAGCCTTGCACAGTGTTTTGAAAGGCTGAAAAAAAGTTCTTCACTGTGCAATTGCATTTTTTCATTATTCTCCCAGTGCATCAGTTTGCTTCCCGGAATAAAACCTTGTAAATGATGATCTAAAAACTGGTTCATGTACATTGGGAAAAGGAAGTTCTGAAACGTTGAAACTTGAGGTTCCTTATTTTTAAACTTTTGTGGACGTACACCTGCATCCTCTTGCAGTCTGTTATTTTGAATTACAAAATCCACTTGTCCTGCAGCTCTGATCTGAAACTCTGAAACTGATGGTCTGAAAAAGAAGTTGGGATGGGGCATTAGGTTCTATAACCAGGGGTGAAACTAGGGATGGGGCTTCAGGGGGCACTGGCCCCAGCTTAAATCTGATTGACCCCTTAAAGGTTCAGTGTGTAGGATTTAAGTGAATGGGATCTAGTGGCAGAAATTGAATATAGAATAATCCTAGTAATGTTTTCACTATTGTAAATTGTATGAATTGTTGTTGTATTGAATTCTCTTTACCCTAGAATGGACTCTTTATATTAACACTAAGAGCAGGTCCTCTCTACGGAGATTCTCTTTCATGCACCTTCACAGTGTGAAGAATTTAGTGACATCTAGTGGTGAAGTTGCATGTTGCAGCTGAACACCCCTCACCTCACCCCCACCTTCCAAACATGACAAAGAACCTGTTGTAGACTTTAGTTGTCATAAAAACTCAAAAGGTGTTTAGTTTGTCCAGTCTGGACTACTGTTAAAAACAGAACGTAATAATAAAAATATAAAGTATTTAAATATAAAGGGCCTTTTCTGCAATAAAGAAAACTACAATTCATACAATTTAAATGAAACGAACTAGAGAAAACATCATGAAGATTATTTTATATTTAATTTGTGCCAATAGATCCCGTTCACCTACATCTTACACACAGGACCTTTAAGTGCCCCTGTTCTGAAAGAAATATTTCTTCACTCTCTCACTAACAATGCTAACAATGAATATGACAGTTTGTGAAAAATCCTTATTTTCTATTGTTTCAAGTACAACATAAAGTGCTTAAGGAACAATTTGCAAAAAAGTAAATCTTTAGAGCAAACAGCAAACAAGGAACGACGTAAATGCATCTTACTGAATCAGGAATTTTGCACAATTGTTGGACATATAATTTGCTCCTCTCTGTTAATTATGGTCCCTGATGTTGTAAAATCCTAGATCTGCCACAGCTAATAGCCTGAGGTTTGGTCTTGGCTGAAGTACAGTCCAATCGCGTGTCTTTTCATGGCAACTAGTTTCAGTCACGCATAACACGATATTAGATATCAAGCTTTCAAAGCATTTTTTCAGTTTGGGGATGTGACATGACATTTATTTCACATGAACGGAGAATCAGTGGCCGGTCTGCAGACTGCTCTGCAGGTATAATCTCTATTCTTCATACAGAGCAAATCAAATCTCTTAAACTGCTTATGTCATTACTCAGTTCAGCTGTTGTGTCTCACACACATGGCCGGTAATACTGACACTGGCTGGAGTTATCACAGTGAAATAAACGATCTATCTATTAACACAAACATTCACTGATCTTGTAATGTTTTGGAGCTCAAACCAAACTTTCCTGTTTCAGGAAGCTACTTACATGCCAATGTCAGAGCAGTCTTTCGAGTCTGCAGACACGGCCGCGCGTCTGAAGCCTCCGCTGGAACATGTGTCCTCCGCCAGTGACGCGATCCAAACGCAGAGCAGAGCCACGGCGCAGATGATACACGCGAGGATACAGCAGCTGAACACACAGGGCTTCAAATTAGCCATTGAACCATCTGTTGAGGAGACTGAGAGAAAGTGTTGCTGCTTTCCGCACAATGCGCACGCGTTCAATGATTATCTGGGCTGCCTGCTCTTCTGAGATCACTCCTCCTTCTCCTGCCTCCATCAATTGGCCATCCATGCACCCTGAAATGAAAGTGAGGACTAGGCCCCCCTAAAAATTGAAGAGTGGGAGTTACGATCCACGACATTTCCAGTACTTTGCTTAAAATTGCGTAAAAAGTGCGCAATGTTTAAATGACAAAGGCTGCTTGTAGATGAATGGATGGATGGTAGATATGTACAAACAGCTGGGGTCATTAAAACATTGTAACACCCACTACACCCCCACCCCCAAAGAACCCCAAAAGTACCTACTGTGTGTAAAACTTCACAAGATTGTGCAATGTTTAAATGACAACAGATTGATAGAATAGATAGATTCAATGTGTTTTTCCTCAGGACTCAGGACAGAAATATGTTACTTGACAGTGTTTAACCTTTTCAACAAGAGTATAATAAAGATGTAAAAAAAAGTTTTTTAAAGGTACAGTGTGTCGAATTTAGACATCTAGTGGTGAAATTGCATGTTACAGCTGAACATCCCTCACGTCACCTTCCCCTTCCAAACATGGCAGAGAACCTGTGGAAGCCTTCAGTTGTCAACTCAAAACTCAAAAGATGTTTAGTTCAGTCAGATAACTCACGTTCCACCGTTTATTGCCGTAGTAGAACATAGTGTGTGTTTGGCGATCTAGCTTCTGACTCAATCACTCCCCCGATATGATTACACAGATATGATGGAAGTGACGAGCAAATACTTGTAACTCTTTAAGTGACAGCAGTTGGACTATTGTGTTGTTATTATTTCTACCAGACCCATTCTGGAGTGTGTCTGCAAAGATGAAGAGCATTTCCCTAATGATCTTTTTCATTCCTCCATGTGCAACACTGATCTCATTTCCAGCTCTTTTCCAGCTCATTTCCCTACATTGTCCGTTACCTGCTGCCCAACACTTCTCGATAAAGTTCCTGACCTGCAGGAAACGCAGCCTGATCCGTGCTGTGCCATTCTATGTTTGACATGAACTACAGTGTCACTGACGCAGTGGAGGCAGGGGACTTCAAACTGAGGTCTCAGATGCTGAAATCCTCCAAACATGGACCACACGCAGCAGGCTGCCTTAACTTTGTCTGTAACGTATCTCTCCTTATTCTGCGATCTGATCTCTGAGGTGCTTCTGGTTGTTTGTTTGTTTGTTAGGTGAATTGAAGAGATTCATTTTGAAGTAAGTTACCATGAAACTGAGGGAATGAACCTTCTCTTATCTGTAGTGCAGAGACTGAATGAATGTACTCTTATGTATTTTATGTTCCAATTCATAACTGAACTACTACTGAACTATCAGGGAGCTAAACTACTAAGTAAAGTATTTTACATTTTTCTCCTTACCTTTAGTTTCTGTAGAGTTTCTATCTTTGTCTATAGTTTGTGTCAGTGTTGGTTAGCCAAGTTAAACTCTTAGTTCTATTTCCAAAAGCACTTTGACAATACAACAAAACTGAAGAGAAGTGTTTGTTTTGTCACAGGCAAGTCAACAAACGAAAAGAGGAATGTGAAGCTGGTGATGGACGACGGCGGTGACCTCTGTCACTCGAGGCCAACGACCGAACAAATTGAGATTCCTTTGTTTTCTCTGTGTTTTTCGATGTTAAAGCCCAAATCTTGAGATTCTCCTGCTGGCCAGACAACACTTGAGCTGGTGTAGCGTGGCTGAGATGAGGACAGTGCTGCTGCTGACACCTCAGATGATCTTTCTCATGTCTGAGGTGCTGACCCCTGGAGTCCAGGGCCATTCTTCAACATTATCTTAAACATTATCTCCATGAATTGGAATTTACATTATACTGATTTTCCTAATCTGAATCAAAGGTCTGAGAATAGTGATACAGACTGTCAACACATGAAACTGACTGTAAATCAATGATGCACACATTTTGTGAGATACAGTTACAATGCATGTAGGAGAGAACATTACTCTGATTTACATTATTACTGTCCAGTGCTGCCTGAGGCCTGCAGAGGCTTCAACACAGGATGCAGATGGTGTTCTTTTTGGCTCCTCTGATCACCAATACAACATCATCATCTATTTATAGGTCAGATGGCTTTTTTGGCACCTATAATTTATACCTCATGCAGAATTCATGTGGCTCGGGAAGTAGAGCGGCTCGTCCACTAACCAAAAGTTCAATGTTTCAATCTCAGCCATTCCACGTGGTCGAAGTTTCCCTGGGCAAGACACTGAACCCCACACTGCCCCTGAAGGAGTCATGTATGATAGAGAAAGTGTGTGAATGGATAAATGGCAAAACTGTACCATTAAGCCCTTTGAGTGGTCATCAAAACCATTATATATATATATTACAACCATTTAATATAGTTTGACATTGTGAGTGAATTAAA